GACAGTCCGTTTATCCCAAAGCCACTTATTTGGTTTCTCTTCCATCTCTTCACGTCCGTTCCTTCTCTACTATCCCTCTTTCCGAATAAGAGAAACCAATCAACCCTATTTTACTTTGATTTTAAAACTGCAAATCATTAAAGTGCTTTGATGTGGAAAAGGACTCAAATAAAACCATTTAAACCATGCATTTGATCCTACAAGAAAAAGTTTTAAAAAGTCACTTGGCAGAGCCATACAGGAACAGGGTGCCAGATTTCTGAGTGATAATCACCAGTTCCAATGAAGTAACAAAAGGAAGTATTTTTATTTCAGATGTGTAGATGTAAATATTTCAAGTCTTTTATACTTTTTCTGAACCCAGTAAAACTGGTTTATAAGTCTGTATCATTTAGTGTTACTCATCTTTTAATTAATAGGATAGCAAGTTATTTTCACAGGAAATCAATGCTTATAATAATACCTTGCATTTAACTTAACAGGGTAAAATCTTATTATCCTCATTTTGTCAGTAACATTTTTCAGCCTGAAGGGTTAAAAGTCACTGAGCCCTGGTTACAAATGGGAAAACCTAAAAGAATTGTCTCACCAACTACAAAATTGCAAGGAGGACCAAGAGCTCAGTTATATGCTCAGATGTTAACATATTATTCATGCATAAGTCCAGTGGCCCAGCCTGAGTGGGTTGGCAGTCAGGATCTTCATCCTAGCCTAACAGACTGAATTTTTATTTATTAGTGTTTATTCCATGATAGTACCTAATTCTTTTTATGACTTCAATTTACTTTTGTAAAGTTTATTTGACCATTTATACTATTTGTGCGGAGGGGTAACTTTTCCTCCTAATCAGTCTTGAGCCAATACTTAAGTTAAATACAATAAAAATAAATAGACTAAAAAAAATTAACATAGTTTTTGCAGCAGTGTCCAGTTGTCCTAAATTTTTCATATGGTTACTTTTGTTGGAGATGGGTTAAAAAAAAAAAAAAAAGGCCATCCAACTGACATTGGTCCATTTTTGAATAGCAATATAGACCATTCATAGAGGTTGTTACCTTCACAGAAGGGTCTTAAACCAGTGTTTCAGAATCACAGCACCAAACCATACTTAATTCTATCATAAAGATCTTCCAAAAAAAACCTTGGCCTTTCTTTTGTCCCTTGAATGCTTTCTAACTCCCATCAACCGGGTTAGGTAAAAAAACTGCTAACCATTCTTAGCATCCAGTTTGCATGCTTGCTGGGTTGCCTAAGATCAGCTTTGTTTCTTATTGCAGTCTCTTCATTTATAAATGTAATGAATTAGATAATCTTGATCAAATTGATAATGACTTTTTGTTTTTTGAGACAGAGTCTTGCTCTGTTTCCCAGGCAGAAGTACAGTGGTATTGTCATGGCTCACTGCAGCTTCAATCTCCTGGGTTCAAGCACTCTTTCCACCTCAAACTCCCATGTAACTAAGACTAGAGGCATGCACCACACACTTGACTCGTTTTTTTAATTTTTTTAAAGACAGGGTCCTGCCATGTTGCCCAGGGCTTAAGCCATCTTCCCGCCTTGGCCTTCCTAAGTGTTGGGATTACAGGCATGAGCCGCAACACCCACCCGTTGATGACTTCTTTGGAAAGGACATCTGTGGTGTTATCAAGGGGACTCTAGTTCAGTGTTATGGAGCTATGTGCCCTGTTCTTAAGTATATTTGTTTGCAAATATGCTATGTTGTATATCTGTGTATGTATAAATTGCTGCTCCTATTACCACTGCAAATGAAGCTAGCTTCTCTTTTATGATTCAGGAACTAGCAAAGTTCTAAATCATACTTATCTGGACCTCTTTCACCAAAAGCAAGTAGTTTAATGTAACTGACTCCATTTTAGCAGAGACAGCAACTGAGCACTAAAAGGCAGTGGTTTTAGACATAGCAGCAGGCATTGTGGTGGTCCAGGAGAAACCATATGGGACTGCTCTGTACTGTTGGGACAGGGAAGACAGAAGGATGATGGAAATGAGATGCCTCAAGTGGGGTTGACCAGTTGCTATGATTTCTGAGCTGCATTTTATTACCAGAGGCTGCCAGTTGTGAAGTACATCATTGACCTGTAGATTTAGGTACAGGCTACCTTGGAAGAACCTGGGGGAAGATACCATTGTACTTGCTCAGATTGGGGCTCAGCCTGAGAAATTAATCTGTAGTGAAAGGCTCTGTAAAAGAACACTAAAGAGAGTAGATTTGATGGTAAAAGAAAGATGGTATGCAAGAGGACATTACAACACTCTAGGAAAGACTTCCTCAGAAGTCCTGCTCCTTACTACTGCAAATTCAATGGACTCACCTGGGAAATGGCATCATGGAATGACAGCCGCTGAGTACTGTGGACACACTCTGAACTTAGAGTCACAATTTCTGTGTTCAACTCCTGGGCCTCAAATTAGCATCCTGGCAACCTTAACAGCCTATCTTAGCTTTCTTTTCTTATTTCTCATCTGTTCTCTGAGCTCTGGAAGTTATCATAGGGATCAAATGAGATTATCGATTTAAAATCACAATTTATTTCTCTATTTAACTATAGCACCAACACTCTTCCCTGTTACCCCTATTCTAAAAATATCTGTGTTTGATACTTTTCATAGAAATGGACACCGACATGCACATACTTATGTATACTCTTTATGGAAAATGATAGGATGGTAAGAGTAAGCCTCATAAAGGGGAGCACATAACTGTCAGAGCTTTTTTAAAAAAAGTAGTTCTTGTAAATGACATATACCCACTTAATCAAACTAGCCGTGATGGTTCAGACTATATGATAGTGTTTCAGAGAGAATTTTATGACCACAGGTTGAGGAGAGACTTTTCCCTTGCAAAAGCAGCACAGATCCCTTATGCCTTTGTCATGCCTAGCATGACATGTTATGTTATGTAGTATAACATCCTACATAATCAAAACACAGTGGTTGAAACTGGAAAATTCAGATGGGTATAATACTATTAACTAATCTAGAGACTTTATTCAGGTATTGCTAGTTTTCCCACTAATGTCTTTTTCCAGACCTAGGATCACACAATTATGTTTTATTAGTCCTCTCTAATCTGGAACCATTCTTTATTTAAAATACATATATTTTTAAAATTTCCTGAAGTTTCTGCTTTGTAGAGTACTATCCACTGTTTCGTAGAATGCCCCTCAATTTTGGTTTGCCTGATGATTTCTGATGATCAAGTTGAGGTTATAAATTTTTACAACGTGTAAAAATTCTCATGCTGCTAATAAAGACATACCTGAGACTGGGTAATTTATAAAGAGTATTAATTGACTCACATTTCCGCATGGCTTAGGAGGCCCCACAAGCATTGCAGAAGGTAGAGGAGCAGAGTCACATCTTACACAGCAGCAAGCAAGAGCATGTGCGGGGGAACTCCCCTTTATAAAATAGTCAGATCTCATGACACTTAATCACTATCGTAAGAACAGCACAGGAAAGACCCACCCCCATGATTCAGTTACCTCCCACCAGTTCCCTTCCATGACATGTAGGGATTATGGGAGCTACAATTCAAGATGAGATTTGGGTGGGCACACAGCCCAACCATATCATTAAAATAATGTCACAAAAGTGATGTTGTGCCCTTCTTAGCGGGTCCTAACGAGTAGGACATGATGGCCTGATTTCCACTGGCAGTGGTAACTTTGATCACACTGGCAGTGGTAACTTTGATCACCCTTTTAATGTAGGGTCTGTTAGGTTTTTCCATGATCATATTATGATTTTCCCTTTGTAATTAATAAGGATCTTGTCATTTTGTTTTTAAGAAGTTTTATGCTTTTTCAAATTCATGGTCAGTATTTGGGCCCGTGTCATTCACAGAGGCATGCAAAATGTGCTGTCCTGTTGGGAAGAAATGGTGCCCTAGAAAGTGATGGAGTCATTATTTAAGTGTTTGAATAGATTTCTCTCAATCCATGCTGAAATGGATTGCCTGACATTACATTGCAGGATTTTAAAGTCCTACCTCCAGGCAAATCTCATAGTTACTAGCAAAAATGAAAGTGTGAAATGCTTTTTAATGTATATTTAACAACACATAGTCTGGTGATTACTGATGTGTATTCTCTGTGGACTCCCTTTGCTATCAGAGGAGGATGCTGAGAGACAACTTTTTACACATTTATTCTATCTAAATCCATCACATGTTTACTTTTTAAATATCTATGACTGTCATTTATAACAAGATCATAAAAAGTCAAATACATTAAGTCTAACTCAAACTTTGAATCATAGGATTACAACCAATTTTCAAGAAAAGTACAATTACCTTTTATGAGTGATGTTTTTCTTACTTTTCCTTATGAAATTGCCTGCTATTAAATGATACTAAAATATAGCCATTCTAAAAAAAAAAGATAAGATACAGTTTAGTAACAAGATATGAGGGATAATGCTGCTTTATTCATCTTTTTGATTCAGAAATTCACATAACTCCTACTTAAAGGAATTTTCATCATTGAATCCAGTGTCATGTCTGCTTATGTTGAAGCAGTAAATTTCACAAAATGTACTTAATTCCTGCCTATAGTATCACTATTTAATAAGGACCAAGGTACCATTTTTTTTTCATTTATATTGGATTTCACAGCAAGGGTTCATATCTTATACTAATACTAATATATGCTAAAATAGTTGCATAGTACATAGATCATTGTTGTTAAAAAAGCAGTACTGAAGGCATTTTAGATCACAGAGTCCCAGTGGTCTACATTTTGTTTGCTTTGACATTATTAAACTCAATCTGTTTCTCTAACTGTGACTCTAATTACTACATTTGCATGGCAGAAAAGTTTGCTTTGTGGGTTGACTTTTATTAACAGTGCTTGCATGTTTTCTGCTCTTGCTCTCAGTGTTTTATGAGCACACAGAGCACCTTCAGTTGCATTGAATAATTATGCACAATCAATAAGTTTTTGTGTTTGTCTTTGTTGTTTCTTTGATGTGGCCTCTAGGATGCTGCCGGCAAGGTGCTGGACCGCTGGGCCATCATGTCTCGAGAAGAGGAAATCATCACCCTTCAGCAGTTTCTGCGGTTTGGAGAAACCAAATCCATTGTGGAGCTGATGGCAATTCAGGAGAAAGAAGGGCAGGCCGTGGCTGTACCATCTTCAAAGACAGACTCAGATATAAGGACTTTCATTGAGAGCAATAATCGTACCAGGAGTCCCAGCCTCCTTGCTCACTTAGAGAACAGCAATCCTTCCAGCATTCATCACTTCGAAAACATCCCAAACAGCCTTGCATTTCTGCTTCCGTTCCAGTACATAAACCCTGTCTCAGCACCACTGCTAGGGTTGCCTCCAAATGGGCTACTGTTAGAGCAACCAGGGTTGAGGCTGCGGGAACCCAGCCTTTCAACCCAGAATGAATATAATGAGAGCAGTGAATCCGAAGTTTCTCCCACACCTTATAAGAATGATCAAACGCCCAATAGAAACGCCCTGACCAGCATTACTAATGTGGAGCCCAAAACCGAGCCAGCCTGTGTCTCTCCCATTCAGAATTCTGCCCCAGTCAGTGATCTAACCAAAACTGAACACCCAAAAAGCTCATTCCGGATTCATCGGATGAGAAGGATGGGGTCAGCCTCTAGGAAAGGAAGAGTGTTCTGTAATGCATGTGGGAAGACATTCTATGACAAAGGTACTCTCAAAATTCATTATAATGCTGTTCACCTGAAGATCAAACATCGATGCACCATTGAGGGTTGCAATATGGTCTTTAGCTCCCTCCGAAGTCGTAATCGCCACAGTGCAAACCCCAACCCCCGCCTTCACATGCCTATGCTAAGGAATAACCGAGACAAAGATTTAATTCGGGGCACCTCAGGAGCTGCTACCCCAGTCATAGCAAGTACGAAATCAAATCTGGCACTCACAAGTCCTGGCCGGCCCCCAATGGGTTTTACCACTCCCCCTCTAGACCCTGTCTTGCAAAATCCTCTCCCTAGCCAGCTGGTATTTTCTGGGCTAAAGACTGTACAACCAGTTCCTCCATTTTATAGAAGTTTACTCACTCCAGGGGAAATGGTGAGTCCTCCAACCTCCCTCCCAACCAGTCCCATCATTCCAACCAGTGGTACCATAGAGCAGCACCCCCCGCCACCCTCTGAGCCAGTAGTGCCAGCAGTGATGATGGCCACCCATGAGCCCAGTGCTGAGCTGGCACCCAAGAAAAAGCCCAGGAAATCAAGCATGCCTGTGAAGATTGAGAAGGAAATTATTGATACTGCCGATGAGTTTGATGATGAAGATGATGACCCCAATGATGGTGGAGCTGTGGTCAATGACATGAGCCATGACAATCATTGTCACTCCCAAGAGGAGATGAGCCCAGGCATGTCTGTGAAGGACTTTTCCAAGCATAACAGGACCCGGTGCATTTCAAGGACTGAAATAAGAAGGGCTGACAGCATGACTTCTGAAGACCAAGAGCCTGAGCGGGACTACGAGAATGAGTCTGAGTCTTCAGAGCCCAAACTGGGCGAGGAATCCATGGAAGGGGATGAGCACATTCACAGCGAAGTGGGTGAAAAAGTCCTGATGAACAGCGAGAGGCCCGACGAGAACCATAGTGAGCCCTCTCACCAGGACGTCATCAAGGTGAAGGAAGAATTCACAGATCCCACTTACGACATGTTTTACATGAGCCAGTATGGACTGTACAACGGTGGGGGGGCCAGCATGGCCGCCCTGCACGAGAGCTTTACATCGTCTCTGAATTATGGCAGCCCTCAAAAGTTCTCCCCAGAAGGTGACCTGTGTTCTAGCCCAGATCCCAAAATATGTTATGTGTGCAAGAAGAGTTTCAAAAGCTCCTACAGTGTGAAACTTCACTACAGGAACGTTCACTTAAAAGAGATGCACGTCTGCACAGTGGCTGGTTGCAATGCTGCGTTCCCCTCTCGCCGAAGCAGAGACAGGTCAGTAAATCTCCATTGGCTGCTCCTGCTGGGGGTGGAGGGTGCCAGTTTTCAGTCATGTTGGACTTCACACTAAAAGAAATCCAACTTAGATGTTTTTGATGCACTGTAAAGATTGTCCACAGTGACCATGTGATAACTAGGCTGCCATGCTCATGAAGGATTGTTGCGGTTGGTGCTTGTGATGATGAAGCATGCAGAATCATGTGCCATCTTTCCCATAATGCACGCCATTTTTCTCTGTGCTCTGTGTATATGTGTGTGTATGTGTTTTCATGCATCTGGGTGTGAATAAGTTAACTGTGTACACGGTTCCCTGCTTCCCCGTGAATCTTCACTTAGAAGCCGCAGCTTCTGTTATATATAAATTTATATATTTATATTTCTGCTTTGCCATGTGGCTTTTTAATTAAATCAATATTATCTTCATACACACATATTTATCCAATATAGAAACAGAAATTTACGGATGGAAAGAACCATAGGTCCAGGACATCGAGACAGCCTGCATCTCCGTAGGTATAACCAGTAATGTTATCATTCCTTTCATGAGTATTTAGTTTGTCCTTGAATTCTTTAAGAGTCATGAAAATATCAGAAGGAAATGGGACAGATGTAATTGTTGATGTGGGAAAATGGTATGCTGGCGTGGGTTTCTTTATTTTAACTTTAATGTCTTTGAGCACATCTCTATAAACTATAGTCTACCATGGGGATTATGCACAGAAGGGGAGGCATGCATATACTTTGAGGATCAGCTCGAATATATTATGTCCAGCCTTCAGATGACATCATACTCTTGCTATGTAGTTGCAGCTCTAAAACAGTTGGGCTTAAACAGAAGCAGCTGGTCCTCAACCTACAAGGTTCTTTATTAATCTCCAAGAAAATGTAATATACATGGAATGTGTCAAGGTGATCAGTGGCAGGATAGCGCAGTTATCCTGCATATGTTGAGATAAGCTTATGAGCAGATCATTTACATAATATACCACCAGCCCAACTCGGGTCACACACCAGTTAGTTCTTCCCGTTATATCAGATGCAGTTTTTGGTTCTACATTGTCTTAAAAGTATTTTAGACAAAATTTTATTACATGGTAGAAATCAATGGAAGAAACACATTAAAATTAACTAAAAAATTTCCACAGAGCCACCACTAATAAGCAGTCATTCTAGTGCTTATCAGTTGAATAGAGTTCTTTGGCAAAGTAACATTAAAAGTACCACTGAAAAGTAGTGTCCTGTCTCAGGGATATTCTGTTTTGTCTTCATATTTGGAGATCAGTCCTTTTTTAAATAAAAGTTTGAGGAATATTTTTTCCTTTCTACTGAAATAAAAGGGCCCCAATCTTTGAAAAGCAAAATCTTTAAGAAAAGTAAGTAGCTCTCCTATACAACCCAAAACATGCGTTGAGGCGAAACAATTTTTTAAGGATTTTCCATCGTCATTTACTTTGTTCTATAAAAATGGTTTATAGACAACAACGTTATTTCAGTTCCAAGTTGTCATTGACAGTCCCAGAATACATCAGATAAGATAGCTATGTTTTGAATAATAAAATACTTTACCCAACTTCCCCCAAGTTTGTGAGTAATACTCATTCTTTTAAATTTGAAATAGTACACTACTGATAATGAGGTTAATGCATTGCATTTTTTTAAACAAAAATAAAAGACTCATGAAAACCTGCATAAAATATTTATGGAAATGGAGTGTTTGAAGATAAGCCAAAATTGGAGCCTAATTGCATGAATTCCTATCACAGTTTTAGTTGGTTTGCTGAAAATATTGCAAGTCATACCACTGTAATAAATAGCTGGGAGACCAAAAGGCTACATACCCAAAGTTTGAAGCCTTCATTTATGTACGGTTACTAGAAAAATACAAGTGCTCGTATGTTTATGTCTTAACACATAGGGAGGCACTGTTGAGGTACTGCTTATTGGTTTGAATGAGGCAAAACATTTATTGATAGCAGGAAAATATTTCAGTCTTCATTTGTATTGTAAGTGTCAGGAGCTTAGTGAGTGACTAACCATGTTGAAGTTTAGGCCCACATCTAGGATGAAAAGATATTCTAGGTGTGAAGAAGAGTACAGATGTGCTCTCAGGGGTGTTCAGTCACATAGAAGGTAGCAAACTTCAGAAGACAGTTGATAGATTTCATTTAGGTGAAATCACAATATGCCCAATCTTTTTCATTTTGGAGTTTTGTCACATAAGATAAATGAAAAAGCAAATGGCAAAAATTGTAGATTAAAAACTTTTTTTATTCTCACTTGAAATTTTGTTTTTTAACAATATACAACTCTTTTGATACTAGGTTACAAACACACAAGTTCTGATACTGCAATTTTGACATTATATTTTCTTAAGAAAAGTGTTCATCTTGGTTGAGCCTATGACTTGAATTAATATAATGTTATGAGTTTAGCTACACCAAATAACCAGTAATGCCATTGGGGTACCCGCCTCTTCCTGCACCTCAGCAGAGTAAACTGTGAAACATAACTGTATTCCTGTTTTAGCCTTTTATTGTCATTTCGTCAATGAATGTCAGCCTGTGATTTAATCTCGTTAGTCACAAAGCCTCTTGGATCTCTGATCTATCTCTTAGACTTACCTTCTCCTGTCTCTTCGTTTTTACTCTATTAGTCATGAGAACCCCAGGAAGTTTGTGTCCCTATATTTTCCTTTTCAATTTGCTGTGAAGCTAAGACATGTTTTCTTCCCTTTTTCTTGAGCCAACAGACCTTCTCAAACAGAAACCCTCCTTTGTCTTTAATCCTGCTGTCCTCAGGCCCATTTCTTTCCTCTCCCCAGAGTCTCAATTTCATCCATCCTTGACTCCACAATGTCTTCCTTGTGCAAATAAAGCATTAGAGGGGATTTTGAGTGGGGCCGAAGTGTGCAAGGCTATATGGTTTCTAGGATGCCTGTCATAAAGCTAACAGAATTGCCCTCTTCCTTCTGTTTATAAAAGCAGCTTTCTTCATGATTAGAACACCTTGGAGGAATTTTACACAGGTCTGCCTGGGCTGCTTCCAAGGTGGTTATACATGAGTTAGTTGCATTTCTGGTCTCAGATAGGCATGTGAATAAGATGGGAAGTAAAAAGACGTTAAATACTGTGTTTTAGGTTTTGCATTTAATTAGCAGATTTCCAGGTCTGTTTGTGGTCCTTCTAGATTTTATAAGATCAAGTTGAAGATTTTTGAAAAGCAAGAATGCTCTTTGTGTAGTGACACAGAGGAAAGGAAGAGACACATGCAAGATTTATTAGGGCTGAGATTCTAAGCAATAATGTCAAAGCTATTCTTTTCTATATAGTTGTAAATGAGTCTGTTTTTAGTAAATTCAGAAGCCAATAGGACCATTCCACACTGACAAAGAGCAAGCTGATTCACACAGTCATCTTTAACTAGGTAGCTGTTAGAATAATCTTTATTCTGAGTGATGAAAGTGAAATATAAATAATTTTCTCTGTAAAGAACTCTGATGCTTTAAAGCAGGGGTCCCCAGCCTCGGGGCTGCAGACTAGCACTGGTCCATGGCCTGTTAGGAACCAGGCTGCACAGCAAGAGGTGAGTGGCTAGTGGGCTGGCAAGCAGGCAAGCATTACCGCCTGAGCTCCACCTCCTGTCAGACCAGTGGTGGCATCAGATTCTCATAGGAGTGCTAACCCTATTGTGAAATGTGCATGCGAGGGATCTAGGTTGCACACTCTTTACGAGAATCTAATGATAAAGGTAACGTGCTTGAATCATTGAATCATCCTAAAACTATACCCCCACTCACATCTGTGGAAAAATTTTCTTCCATGAAACTGGTCCTTGGTGCCAAAAAGGCTGGAAACTGCTGCTCTAAGGTGACTGCTAAAGTCTTCAAGTGTATCCTAATAACATGGTGTAGTGTTAGCTTTTGAAAGTCTCTAAAGACCCTTTCCTACTTCTTGTTTATCCCTTGATTTGTCTGCTGCTGAGATGCTGTTCTATTAGGAACAGAAGGCTGCCCCTCCATTATGAAGCATGCATATGAAATCTTTCCTGAGAAGAGGAAATTCTAACAGGCCTGGAACCTGCTTTCTTCATATAGGAAGTTCTTTTGAAGAGAGCCTGATAGTCAGAATTAGCTGGGCGTACTTTTACCTTTCATCATTTCTCCTACTCAGACTTGATTTTTGATCCCCAGGAGGGCTGAGTGGCAGATCACCCATTTTTAAGGGAAGCCCATTTATAAGTTACATTTGGATTCTTTTCAGGCAGAAAAATAACAAATACCCTCTGTTCTGTTTCCTAATATTCCTTATCATTTGCTCATATGCTAAAATCTATTTGTATTTGTCTTAATGATTGGCAGTTCTCAAACTCCATCTTAAATGATGACTTTGAACTCAGAAACTGGATGATCTGTATAAAAAGAAGTCATTGTCTCTCTTTCATCCTACATGAGTTTTACCATCTTTGTTCCTTTCTTCTCAGAGTAGTGGCCACTAGTTGTCAAAGTTTGTCTTAAGTTTTATCAGAAAGGTAAGCATATATGTTTGATCTTCAAGTTGTAGGAAAGGTGATTTAGCCATATGAATAAATTTAAAGACAAAATTATATTTGCTGAGGGTGATTTTTAAATAAATATGAGGCAACCATTGGTGTCAAGTGTGAACTTTCCATTTGATTGCTAGTTAAATCAGTCCACATCTAAACATGGAAACTTCTCTATTGCTGTGGAGGAAGACATCTGTATTTGGTTTATTAAAACCGGCTGATGTCTCCAGAACTAAATTTGTTCCTGTATAGGCCCCTGGGTAGCTGTAGCTAAAAAGCAGAAATGTATAGTTTTAGCTTGTCTGATTACCTGACTTCCAGCCCTGTACAGGTGTGCAGGAATAAATTAACAGGAGCTACCTCTGATGAGCCACTGCATACATTAACAGCAGAGGTGAAGATGTGAAAACATGTTACCTGCCTCCTGTTATCACCTTCTCAGCAGAGCAGCATCCATTTTTTCCATCATTCCCTCTGTTTGGAAACTTACGCAGAACTTTTTCTAGAGACGGCTTTTCAGTAAATACACACGATTTCACCAGGCAATACCTCTTAAGAAATGAGCCACTTAGCACCAATTCAAGACAATGATTAGTATATTTGCCCTAATATAATTAGCTGTGAAATACGATGTGGTAATCCTCTCCAAGTAAAAGAAGAGAACATTTTAAAGCATTAGCTGTTTCGTTCCATTGCCAATCAAACTGCAAGTCTCCATGTCTAAAATTCTTTTATAACGTAAAGTTGTGCAGGTCCTCTGACTTCTAAATGTTAAGGAAGAGGTGTTTTTTTTTTTCTTTTTTTTTTTTTCCTGTTACTCTATTTGGTTTCACAATAGAGTCAGATCAATAGACCTTTTGTACTTATGTCCATTACTTTCCGTCAGAAGCAAACACACAAAATAAATCCCCCTCCTGAGCAACTGCTAGTTGTGTCCTCCTCAAGCAAAAACTTTGGTAGTAAGATAAACT